TTGATGGTCATTCTGTTATTTACTCTGAATGTCATGATGCCTTGCAACATGCAGTTGTTCTGATCTTAATCATCTTAGCTGATGTTCAGGTTAGCTATTATATTTGACCTGTACCTGGATTTAAGGACAGCTAGTTTCTCCATTCTCTCTCATTCTTCAGGCAGGTTTCAGCTATGTGGCTCTTTCTGCCTGTCCTGGTAGCTGTCCTTTTCCTCCTTCGCCGTTGGTACCTGGAAAGACAAATGGTGGAGAACCTGACGGAAAAATATGTCTTCATCACAGGCTGTGATTCTGGCTTTGGGAACCAGCTGGCCAGGCAGCTGGATGCTCAGGGTCTGCAGGTGTTGGCCTCTTGTCTCACTTCAGAAGCGGCAGAACAGCTGGAAAAGGTCACATCGGACCGGTTAAAAACCACTCTGCTGGATGTCACCAATACTGAGAATGTTGCAGCAGCAACTGAGTGGGTGAAAACCTGCGTGGGGAAAAAAGGTGATGGACTCTGTTTATTATCCTATGTGGTATTTTTATGCGGAAGCAGTGCAAAAAAAAAAATGGGCTTCTCTAGGAGACATAGTACATTTTCTCATTATGCATTATTGATTTCATTAATTAGTCAAGTGCACATTGAAACCAAACTCTTGATTCGTTAATTATGTACTTGTTTAGTTTGTTTCTTAAATTGATTTTATACATACATTTATTTTTTCCTTGTCATTTGGACAATAAGAATAGAGATAGAAATAAGAACTCTCTCATGAAGGAAATGTCCTTGCATTTCTGTGGGTTCAGCACACAGAGACAAAAAAAAAAAAGGCTTGAGGGAGTCAAATTCTTTCTAATGCTTCTCAAATATTTACAGGATATAGAATGTGGTATTTAAGAGCTTAGGACTTAAGACAAGATATACAGAATCCATAGACAACAGAATTTGTTAACTCACATTCAGAATTAGCTCAGCAATGGCTTCTGGTTTGTGATCGCAGCGCCAGCGGATGTGCGATGAGAGCACTCTCTCCGCCGTCCAGTTTCCCTTCGTTGGAAGACCCTGGAAAAGGTCGAAAGTTGCAGTGAATTAACACAGAGACCAATTCTCAACTCATGCCTGGAAGTAGCCAGGGAAGGCAATAGACACACTAAAGAAGCTTTCCAGAATGGGGCAGTTGTGGCTGGCATGTACATACTAATAACAATCATCCCTACAGACCCTCATACATCAAAACCATGTACACCTCAAGGTGGACCTAAATCACCACAATGCCTTGCACAAACAGTCATAAAAGTGCAGCTTCGTGAAACTGGTCCTTTTTTAATCTTCTCAGAGGGCATAAATATAATTGGAACAAGAAAAAGAATAGCCACATGAAATACCAGCAGAATCAGTGCAAAATATGAAGGACAGCCATTTGTGAAAATATATTATCCAGGTAGATGCAGAAAGCATGCATCCCATCTTGCTTGCTGCCAAGCTAAAATGATCTTGGAAGTTTTTATATATCTCAATTTTATTCTGCAGAATAAGATCACTTGGAAATTATTCCTAAAACAAGCCACCACAAACAAACATTTATACACAAGGTCACAAATACCAAGCAAACATCAGGTAGTCTTAGAAATTAGAAACAACAAGCAGATATTTCGCCAACAAGCATTTCTTATCAATAAAACAAATTTGAAGGGATGCTGCCAGAATAGAAAATTCGTAGGAGAGTTAAGGCCTTCCTTCATATTTCACAGAGGCCCAGTTATTTGCCTTTATTACTTTATGAGAGGGTGTGTGCGATGGCTCAGTGGTTAAAGATGCTAAGCTTGTCAGCTGGAAAGCTGATAACCCAGGGATGAGACCCAACTGCCACGAGACGAGGTGAGCTCCTTTTCCTGCCCCAGCTCCTACCCACTAGCACTTCAAAAGCATGCAAATGTGAGTAGATAAATAAGTACCACTTTGATGGGAAGGTAATAGCATTCTCTGTGCCTCGGCATATTAGCCATGCTGACCACATTACCATGGAAGTATCTTTGGACAAGGCTGGCTCCCTCAGCTAGGAAATGGAGATGAGCACTGATCCTCAAGAGTCGGACATGACTAGACAGGGGAAACCTTTACTTTTATTACTTTATAAGTAGCTTAAAACACTTAACAACTGAAGAAAGGTCGTAAAATGGGGCAAAACGTACTTACCGTAACAAATGTCTCACTTAGCAACAGAGGTTGGGTTCAGTTGTGGTCATAACGTAAGGACTACTTGTATTTCTTCCTCCTCCTATTTTCCCCACAAAAATAAACTTGTGAGGTAGGTTGGGCTGAAAGAGTAACTGGCCCAAGATCACCCAGCCACCTTTTGTGCCTAAAGTAGGACTAGAACTCTTAGCATCCTGGTTTCTAGGTCAGAGGAAATTGGGGTTCCAGCTAAGATTATTCAAAGACAAAATTATGAAGATTTTCCAGAATCCCACTTTTTTTTCCCCTCACAGGACTTTGGGGGTTAGTAAACAACGCAGGCATTGGTTATCCAGTTGGTCCCAATGAGTGCCTGAGGAAGGAGGACTTCGCCAAAGTGCTGGAAGTGAACTTACTTGGGCTGATTAACATGACACTTCACATGCTACCCCTGGTGAGGAGAGCCAGAGGGAGAGTGATCAACTTGTCTAGTGTGGTGGGAAGACTGGCAATCTCCGGAGGTGGGTATTGCCTCTCCAAGTTTGCTGTGGAAGCCTTCTCAGACTCTCTGAGGTAAAATGTAAACTTAATAGCTATTTTTTCATGTTTAGCAGCAAATTATTTTCCCCTGCTACATTTGAAGCAGCAAAGCACTTAGTTGTTCTGGCCTATATTTATAGTGGGAACATGTTTGAGATAGACATTTGGCCTGCCTGTGGCAGTCCTGCAGCTTTCAAAATGTTCATGCAGTTGCATGTGCA